CTTTACAGTGGAAAAAGGTTCTTAGATTATTAAAATGTTCTTCACACTAAGAAAAATGGTTCTTTTAACACTGAAAGGTTCTTTGGAGAACCAAAACTGGTGGTATCGCTGCGAAACCCATCTTTTGGAACCTTCATCTGCACAAATAGCATATAAAATAACCCATAGCAGATCTATACAGGTGGAGCTGGGGAAGGTGGAGGGTTTCAGAGAAACTCTGAAAGCACGCTGCTGGAATCTCAAGTGAATGCTAGACAGCCATAAAAATACAAGGCAGTAAGCTCATTGGCTGCATATGCAGCATGAGCCAATCAACTTGTGCCAAGTCGTTTAACTCTCTGAATATCATCAGTTACGTTAACACCCCGTCAGAATGCGCCATCTAGAGTTTCATGACTGAACTATATATATATACAGTGAGTATTAAACACATCACCATTTTTCTCAGTAAATATATTTCTAAAGGAGCTGTTGACATGAAATTTTCACCAGATGTCGGTAACAACCCAAGAAATCCATACATACAAAGAGAACAAAACAAATAAGTTCAGAAATTAAGTTCAGTGTAATAAAATGGAATGACACAGAGAAAAAGTATTGAACACACTTACTGAAATGTATTTAATACTTTGTACAAAAGCCTTTGTTGTTAATGACAGCTTCAAGACGTAGGAGACTTGTTTAAATGTGGTGCAGCAAACTTTAAACGAGCTTCAATGCTTTTTCTTCAGCAATAGAGCCTTGCGAGTGCATTACTTTTTATTTTCTTTGAAACAATTGTACCTGCTAATTCCAGGTCTTTCTGAAGCTCTCCACAAGTGATCCTTGGCTCTTATAGACAAATCTTCTGATAATTATTTTCACTCCTCTGTCAGAAATCTTGCGAGGAGCACCTGATCGTGGCCGGTTTATGGTGAAATGATGTTCTTTCCACTTCCAGATTATGGCCCCGACAGTGCTCACTGGAACATTCAGAAGTACAGAAATCCTTCTGTAACCAATGCCAGCAGTATGTTTTGCAACAATAAGGTTGCGAAGCTCTTTGCTTTTACCCATCATGAAATGTTTCTTGTGTGACACCTTTTTATAGGCCATCAGTTGAAACTGAACCAACTAAAATTAATTTCCACAGACAAGGAGCAGGATTGCTTTCTAATTACTGATAGATTTCTGCTGGTGTCTTGGCTCTCCATACCTTTTTGCACCTCCCTTTCTTCATGTGTTCAATACTATTTCTCTGTGTCATTCCATTTTATTACACTGAACTTAATTTCTGAACTTATTTGTATTGTTTTCTTTGTATGTATGGATTTCTTGGGTTGTTACCGACATCTGGTGAAAATTTCATGTCAACAGCACCTTTAGAAATATATTTACTGAGAAAAATGGTGATGTGTTCAATACTTATTTTACCCGCTGTATATATATATATATATATATGTGTGTGTGTGTGTGTGTGTGTGTACATTATTATTTTTATCTATTATCTATTATCTATTATTATTATTAATACATTACCAGTTTCAATAGAAATTTCATTTTAATTTACCATAAATGTTTGCCACTACATTCTGCAATACCAACAAAAATGTAATTTATTTATGAAAAATTACGAAATTATGTATAAAGGCGTATTTAAGTCCTACTTAAATGGCCTAAAACCTATATATATATCAAACTTTCTTAATCTGCAGCATTTGGATTGTTTATATGTTTGTAATGATATGTTCAACTATGTATCCATATGTATCACACGACTGTTGTAAAACTGTATTTTTGTGATAATTCAGTGTAATTACAATTAATAATGTTGCATATAAACCAGATAACACAAAACACTTAATATATGAATTATAACACTAACAAATAACAACTGTTTAATTTTAACAGTATTTAGATTTTTTTTTTACTTGATAACATTGATTCATTTCTCTATTCCATAGCTATATCTTCCACTGATCTAGAGAAGAATATTTCTTAAATACCTAAATCCTGGATATCAATATATCATGGTTGCTCTTTCTCCTTTTCTCTACCAAACTGATAGGAGAAAAAATATTACCTCGTATTGCTTTTAATCCCTGGATGGTTGAATATTGCTTCATTTTGAGTTGCCCAGAATTTTAGTCAACCCTTTATTCAGCCATGGACTTGTGAGCTCAAGCCGGATCTGTTGAAGCGTTCAGGAAGCCCTTGGCATATTCTCAGTTCCCAGCGACACAAATATGTGCTAGTGTGAGTTTTCCCTCTGCTCCACTGGTGGCAGTTATGTACTGTAGGCCTATATCACAGGAACACAACACAGACTCCTGGGAAATCTGGTCAAGCCCGTTTAAAACCACACCCCCAGTCACAGTTAGACATCTGTTTGACCGATGGAGGGTGATGTGTGTTAAACAGAAGAAGGGTGGGTTATGTGATTCAAAAAGGCATTGAAAGAGCACATGCGGTGACCTCTGCACCGTATATGAGACAACAATGAGCTCAGGAAACTTCTTAAAGGGGTCATATGATGCTTTTTTAAAGATCATTATTTGGTGTAACAGAATATGTTGACATGCTTTAATGTTAAAAAAACACATTATTTTTCAAATACTGTACATTATTGTAGGTCCTCTATGCCCCGCTACAAAGTCCCTCTCCAAAACATATTCAAGTTACAGTTATATATATGGGCTGAAAGTGCACACTCTGAGCTTTAATTTGAGGGTATTTTTACCACAATTGGAGGAAAGGTTCAGGAATTACAGCTCTTTAATATGTACCTCCCCCCTTTTTCAAGAGACCATAAGTAATTGGACAATTGACTCAAAAGCTGTTTCATAGACTGGCGTGGGCTATTCCTTCGTTATTTCTAAATGAATTAAACAGGTAAAAGTTCTGGAGTTGATTCTAAGTGTGCTATTTGTATTTGGAATCTGTTGCTGTGAACCACATCATGCGGTCAAAGGATCTCTCCATGCAGGTGAAACAGACAATTGTTAGGCTTCAAAATCAAAACAAATCCATCAGAGAGATAGCAGGAACGTTAGGAGTGGCCAAATCAACAGTTTGGTACATTCTGAGAAAAAAAGAACACACTGGTGAGCTCAGCAACATAAAAAGGCCTGGACGTCCACGGAGGACAACAGTGGTGGAAGATCGGAGGATCCTCTCCATGGTAAAGAAAAACCCTTTCACAACATCCAGCCAATAGAAGAACACTCTCCAGGAGGCAGACGTGTCACTGTCAAAATCTACAGTCAAGAGAAGACTTCACCAGAGCAAATACAGAGGCTTCACCACAAGCTGTAAACAAGACCAGATTAGACTTTGCCAAAAAACATCTAAAAAATAACAGACCACTTCTGGAAAAGCATTCTTTGGATGGCTGAAATTAAGATCAACCTGTACCAGAATGACGGGAAGAAAAAAGTATGGAGAAGGCTTGGAACAGCTCATCTGTGAAACATGGTGGAGCAGTGTGATGGCATGAGCGTGCATGGCTTCCAGTGGCACTGGGTCACTGGTGTTTATTGATGACGTGACAGAAGACAGAAGCAGCCGGATGAATTCTGAAGTGTATAGAGATATACTCTCTGCCCAGATTCAGCCAAATGGAGCAAAGCTGATTGGACGGCGCTTCTTAGTACAAATGAACAATGACCCAAAACATACAGCAAAAGCAACCCAGAAATTTTTGAAGGAACAAAAGTGGAATATTCTGCAATGGCCAAGTCAATCTTCTGATCTCTATCCGATTGAGCTGCATTTCACTCGCTGAAGACAAAACTAAAAGCAGAAAGACCCACAAACAAATAACAACTGAAGTCAGCTGCAGTAAAGGCCTGGCAAAGCAGCACAAAGGAGGAAACCCAGTCTCTGCTGATGTCCATGAGTTCCAGACTTAAGGCAGTCATTGCCTGCAAAGGATTCTCAACAAAATAATAAAAATATTTTATTTATGATTATATTTATTTGTCCAATTACATTTGAGCCCCTGAAAATGGGGGGACGGTGTATAAAATGGTTGTAATTCCTAAGCGTTTTATATTTTCGTTCAACCCCTTGAATTATAGCTTAAAGTCTGCACTTCAATTTCATCTTGATTGTTTAATTTTAATTCTATTCTGGTGGCACACAGAGCCAAAATTATGAAAATTGTGTCAGTGTCTAAATATACATGGACCTAATTGTATATTTTCAGACACTTAACCGCATGTTAATTGCAATTTAGCGAAAATGTATTATAGTTTAAATTTATATTAACTGCAATTAGCTGAACTTTAGAGTGCTTTTTTGATCCCCTTAAGTTGATCTTTATATGTAATTTCATAACTACTTCCATTGTCTTTGAAATATGGTTAGTTTACTGTCGAATGTACAGACAAGGATTTATGATAATAAACTAAAATATACTACTGATACATTTCTATTGACACTCGTATGTTAAGTATTTAAATATATTTTTACTTACACTTTTGTAATAATGAAGTTTCAATTTATTACATTTAAAATACATACACTTTAAATGTAATATTGACAAACACATGACAGTTAAAATAATTAAGTACTTAATATGTGCTTCAGTATGTTAGTCAACACATCAAAATAAGTCTACTTCTTTGAAACAACATAAGGATTTAAAGTGTACTTTCAATGCCAAACTTTTAATTTGACTTCATTTCAGTTTTTAAAGGTGTACTTAAGTGTGTTAAGTGAAAGTGTGCTCTCTTTAAATACACTTAAGTTGGCTTTTTATTTCATTAATATTAATGATAATATTGTTTTATATATATATATACTTTTAAGATTTGAACAACACTACAAGTGTATATTCTATACATTTAAGTGCACTTCTTTTTCACAAGGGTATGTGAACAATTCTCTTAACAAGCGATATCCCAGCAAAACACTGGTGAGACTGAGCAAACAGGTTTCTGCAGGTTTATATGATCATTTCCCCTAAAACACATTCTCATGAAATGTAAAGACATCTTGTAAAGCATGAAGAGACATACCGGCTCTAACTGGAAATACTCTCCATGCTGCTCACAGCCAATGTCAAACACATACTTCCCTGGACCAGAGGGCTACAAAATAACAATTACAAGAAATAAGAGATCACTGTGTGCGAGAAATGCAATTGTCTTGTTATATTCAAGGCTGAAGTTAATATAGAACACATTAAAACAGTGGTTTTGTTTAGGATGCACAAATTTGAAAGTCAATTAGGTCTATTTATTCTGCTATTTGGACTATACAGTTAGTTGCATTTTATTATGAAATAGTAATGCTCAGAACCACAAATGTAGAGTGTTACTTACATTATTATTGACAAAGTTGCCCTGATATCTGTGGTTCAGATGGATCAGCTCCCCGGTGGACTCCATCTTTCCCATGACCCATGTGCCCATGTACTGAGACCCAGTTTCGTGATGTGTGTATGTACCCTGCCCGTGTCTAAGAGAGAAACACAGAGATACAGTAGATACTTAATAAGAATGTTTTGCCATTCATTTTTAGCTGAACTGAAGACGTTATGAATACTGTTGTAACTAATATCCATAGAGTAGACATATTAGATTACCAGATTAGATCAGAGAGAAAGATAGTTAAAAAACGACCTTTCATGGTGCAGCCATTCACCATCATATGTGTCTCCATTGGGGTACGCGTAAACACCATGACCCTGCCGCTGGTCATCCACCCAGCTTCCTGTGGAGAAATGTGATATGAGAAGATTGCATTTTATGCTATAAATCCTGGGAGAAAAAACTAAGACCACTATAACTATTACTTCTACTTGAATACAATATTTTTAATTAAAAAATATCATAGTATCAGCATAATAATTAAAGTGAAAAGTTGATATGAAAAATGTACATTAATTCCTAAACGTTTTTAAACAACACTTTCTCATACAGCACTTTTTATTATTATTATTATTATTATTATTATTATTTATATTTATATGTTTATGTTATGTTCTTTTTGTTGTTGTTATCTGTTATACATACTTTCAGCTGTATGACACTACCTTATTTGCCTTGTACTTTCTGCATTGTACTTCTATCTATCTATCTGTCTATCTGTCTACAAACCCAATTCCAAAAAAGTGAAAGTGACATGTGGCCAAGTATGGTGACACACACTCGGAATTAGTGCTCTTCATTTATCCCATCCAAAGTGAACACACACACCGTGAACACACACCAGGAGCAGTGGGCAGCCATTTATGCTGCGGCGCCCGGGGAG